CTCACTCTAGAGAAACTTTCGCCGAAATTGGCAAATAAAACGAGCTTTTCGCCTGTCAGTATTGACTGTGCATTAGGGCGGGTCGAAAATCTAATTTTTCTCAGATCCCTTGGTAATAGTGAAAATATATTGTATCATGAAGTCAACAACAAGCCTGCAAAATATTAGTATTTTATTTTAGTTGTAAGAGCCCGCGCATCGACCGCAAAGTGACCCACAGCACACTAGTCGAATAAGACCAATTCTTGTTAAAAATTCTGGGTTCGGCAAAATGGTTTGGTGCATATTATTAGATAATGAATCCGTTTAAGCAAAAGATAAAGTCAAATTTCATTTCTCGCAGCCCTTTAGCTTATCGTTAATCTCAAGATTATCTGTTTTCAATAAAATTTGAATTGTTCTCTTGATAATTGCACTGGATTATAGTCAAAAGATGTAAAGAACAGCTTTAATATTGCTGGCGTGCTGGCATGTCGCTGGTTCCAAATATTCTAATCTTTTTTTAATATTAGCTATAGTTTGCGAATTTTTGCAAATATAGGGACAATTTCAGTAACTCTAATAGAAAAGCCATTATTTTCCATCATCGTGGAAAAATTTTGTTTATGCAAATGGGTATGGAAACACTGAACAGGCACAACCTCTAGAAACACTAATTGGTTTACTTATGTTTATGCATACAATATAAAAATTGCAAATATAAGAAAATAACAAAAAACTTTGTTCAAAATTTTTTTTTATTTTAAAATAATTTGTTTATAATCTGAACGATTTTAATCATATTATTATCAAAAATCGGTAACATTAAGTCTCGCCTTCAATTTGGTAATTATTAAGTACCGATCGAGCAACACTTACCAAAGTTATATGGAAAAATTTTAGTGGATCTCCAGCTTTTTTCTAAAAAAATTTCTCTTAAATTGTATAAATAACTTTTAAATGAAAGAGCGGGATTCCAGAAAAGGGTGTCAGGGAGTGACTTTCAAGCTAAATGCAAAGTATTATCGTCCAATTGGAGAGTCCTCAAAAGGATATGTTAAATACTATTGCATTTACCTGCAGTCACTTTTTCACATCATGGAATTAACTAAAATATTTATGTATATCTAAACACTTATTGCACGTCCCCTACTTTCATATAACGGCAGAATTAGAGACCGCGAACAATTTTCAAAGCTGCATAAATGGACTTAAAATGGGCGTTTCTCACTTTAATTGTATTATGTTAATGTATGTAAATACTTATATACTTGAAACTACTATTAACTTATCAAACGATTCGTAATCTTTGATAATACATGTTTGACTTCATTCACCACAATCTTGAAAACTGACCAAATCGGCCCAAGGCCCACTTAATATTATATAAACATACGAAAACATTAGAACGTTTGAAATATATCTCGTCTCACTTTTTTGAATTTTTCACTTGGTTGCTGAAGTAATGAAGACTTGAAAATTCATAAAAGAAAATTATAGTTTTCGTAAGTTTTATCTTAATATCTTAAAACCGTGTAGACTTATTGAAAAATGATAAATGAATGTGAGATACTAAATTTAATAACCCTTAATTTGATATATCGTCCTATTTATAACAATTAACGCATACCATAGATATTACAAGCCAAAGTTAAGTTTTAAAAATTCATACACTTTGATTCAATTGCGCGGGCTAAAGATAAGTTTTAAATTAATCTTTCGTGGCCAATAACAATTGGCTTAGACCTAAGACATCATAAATTACTATTAAAATACGGTCAAATGCCTTTTATTTTCCCCCATATAAAATCGACCCAGCCTACTGTGCATACCTGTGACAATTGACGACTTTGATAACACGCGAATTCCCACGACAGCCGGTTCTACGTACCGGAATAACTCGACCAAGGGCTGTCGTTTTGGCGACCTAACCCCGAATAAACAATCGTGGTACAAAGCTCAATAAACATATTAAAAAATAAAATGTTAACAAGCCACAATAACATTGACAAATACATAGTTTAGGAAGAGCCTGCCTGAAACTATACAAAAAAGCAAAAAAGCAAATGGATGTATAGAATTGACAACAACAACCACGCTGTCGAGTTTAAATAGCGGCAAATCAGCTGCACTTGTTAGTAGTGCGTTGAATAAGGAATATGAATTAGCAACAAGAGTTTACGGGATGTACATAGCTCAGTGGTTAACGCTTCTGACTTTGAACATCGAATACGCAGGTTCTATCCCTGCTGAAGTCTAGAGAAAAGAAGTCTGATGAGGAGATGTGGTGTGAATTACCAATCTGTAAAAAATCGTGTTGGTATCATATATATGAAGCTAGATATATAGAGATGTTGATTAATACATCACATTCGTAACACATAGGTCTGGCTGGACCCACATATATTCCTATGTAATTTTTACCTAAAATGAAAGAATGCAACCGTTTTTCAAAGTGTTCTTTTGAATTTTTGAACTATCATGGCAAGAGATGATTTGCATTTTTAACCGACTTCCAAAAAAGGAGGAGGTTATCAGTTCGTCGGAATATATATATATTTTTTTTATATGTATGTTACCGCATAACTTTCCGACCCTCAACTTTACTACCGTCAACCGATAGATAGATGCATCGGAAAGGTAGAAAGGTGGTCCCATACTAATCTGATTAAGATCCGATCAGTGGATCATGAGATATATCTATGTATATAATACGCGAAGGCATTTTTTGTGCAGCATAAAAGATCTGCACCGTTCGTCCGGGGTGTCAAGTTAAAGCGCTTGGCCTGTGGATGTGCAAACTGGTTTTATTTTTTCGAAAGGGGCTGCCACCTGTTAAATAATTATACTCAAGTTATTTACTAATCAATGCCCTCAGATCCGCACCGTCCGTTCGATTTTCAAAAGTGAGGTACTAAATTAAAGGACTTAGGGTGTGGATGTTCATGAAGGTCTAACTTTTTCGAAAAAAGTTGCCACCTGTTAAGAAATTAAGCTCAAATTAATTAATAAGTTAAATCAATTATTAAATATGGGTAGCATTCGAAATGGGTTTGAAAAGGCTTTATAACTTAACTCGTATAGGAGGGTTGCCACATTAAAAAAAAAAAAATATTCAATTTTAATTATGTAAAGGAATGTGGTAAGTGAATAAGGTATTGCTATATGGATGTCAGATAAAACAGGTTTAAGAAGGTAGTAGTTTGGAAATATTTGGAAGTCTAATTGAACTATTTTATACCCACGTTATATGAAATATGAGCGATGGATGTCAAATGAAAGAGTTTCAAGAAATTATTGGGGGATTCACAACGGTGTCGTAAGTGTCGTATTGTTGTATGTCATAAACTTTAAAAGCACCACTGAGAAATGGCTTAGATTAATCATTAGGAATATTTTTAGAGGTTATTTAATAGGGTTTCACCTGTTTAAAAAGTTTAATTAAATGTTGGCGCTTTGACGTCATGCGGGTTCACTAGTATATATATATATTTTTTTTTATATGAGAATTGAAGTCGGTTTTTTTTGCAAAAAATGCTAATCCTCTCTTGACCACAGCACTCAATTTTTCGATGGTCCGGCAATTTGTTTGGAGGATATGTACATTATAGCTTTTATATTAACCCAAGACACCAAATGCCAGCAAGAAAAATATCCCAACCAATATCCCAATAAGGAAAATGAATTAGCAACAAGAGTTTACGGGATGTCCATAGCTCAGTGGTTAACGCTTCTGACTTTGAACATCGAATACGCAGGTTCGATCCCTGCTGAAGTCTAGAAAAGAGAAGTCTGTTGAGGAGATGTGGTGATCTCCGAAATAGTGCTATAACTTTTACCGCTTAGACTTTGTTGCGTTTTCAATTTTTCCTAATAAGCAATCGTGGTACAAAGCTCAATAAAAATATTAAAAATAAAATGTTAACAAGCCACAATAACATTGACAAATACATAGTTTAGGAAGAGCCTGCCTGAAACTATACAAAAAACCAAATAAGCAAATTGATGTATAGAATTAACAACAACAACCACGCTGTCGAGTTTAAATAGAGGCAAATCAGCTGCACTTGATAGTAGTTGGTTGAATAAGGAAAATGAATTAGCAACAAGAGTTTACGGGATGTACATAGCTCAGTGGTTAACGCTTCTGACTTTGAACACCGAATTCGCAGGTTCGATTCCTGCTGAAGTCTAGAAAAAAGAAGTCTGATGAGGAGATGTGGTGATCTCCGAAATAGTGCTATAACCTCTACCGCTAAGACTTTGTTGCTTTTTCAATTTTTCCTAATAAACAATCGTGGTACGAAGCTCAATAAAAATATTAAAAATAAAAAAAAAAATTAAAAAATGTTAACAAGCCACAATAACATTGACAAATACATAGTTTAGGAAGAGCCTGCCTGAAACTATACAAAAAAGCAAATAAGCAAATGGATGTATAGAATTGACAACAACAACCACGCTGTCGAGTTTAAATAGCGGCAAATCAGCTGCACTTGATAGTAGTTGGTTGAATAAGGAAAATGAATTAGCAACAAGAGTTTACGGGATGTACATAGCTCAGTGGTTAACGCTTCTGACTTTGAACATCGAATTCGCAGGTTCGATCCCTGCTGAAGTCTAGAAAAAAGAAGTCTGATGAGGAGATGTGGTGATCTCCGAAATAGTGCTATAACTTCTACCGCTTAGACTTTGTTGCTTTTTCAAGTTTTCCTTGTTGAGCTTGTACAAAGCTCAATAAAAATATTATAAAAATTTTTTTATTTGTTGTTTACTAAAAAATACTTGCTAAGTATATAAGTCAAAATTGTTAAATATATATCGCTTTCATTTATTTCTTCATAGAGCTATTGCTTCTTTTATAGGAAAATTCATACGGCTTATGAACAGATTCATACCATGTTAATGCACCATAAAACGTTCCATACAAGTATGAAAACGAAAATTTCTCTTTGTGCGATTTATACCATTAAATTTTTAATATAAAATAAGTTTAATAAATAATTTCCTTTTTATTTCAGCTTCGACTTTTGCAATCCGAAATAAATGTGGAGGACATTGTGAATGAACGTACGCTGAAAGCAGTCAAGGAAAGATGCCGAACATACCTTCATTCTGGTGCGTTATGATTGCGTATTTTCAAACCATAATTCCCTAAAATGATGCTTTTAAAGTTTTTTTTTAATAAATAGCTTGGTTTGAATTGATACCCAAAATTGAAAAAAAAGTTTCTAATATGACTTTACTTTAAAAAGGTGGATATGTACATATGTAAATGAATGGTGCACACGTTAGCCAAATTGAGCCACTCGGCTCTTACGTACAAGTCGCGTGTACGAAGCTACCGCACATTTGCGATGCTAGCAACCAGCCAGTGTGCGTTTGTTTTTCATGCAGTAACCAGTTCATTCCAGTAGAACTTGGGAGCATCGTACGATCGCTCGGTGAGTACTCCCTTGGAAGTATACGAATACGCAGAGTGTTGCTCCCTATGTATACTCCCTTTAACATTGTATGTCCTAGGAGGGGAAGTAATCCCTGTTACCTCCTAAACGAACAATCGGGGGAGCACACACAGAAATATCATCCCACAAACCTCCTAAGGGAGCGATACGGGAGTACTCCCATAGTACCATCGCATAAACCTCCCAAAAACACAACATGGGAGTGCACATAGAAAAACATCCCACATTCCTCCCGAACGAACAATAAGGGAGTGCTCCCATAAGAGGCATCCCGCCAGCCTCCTGTTCGAGTATGTAAATAAGATAGCAATGAAAAGCTCCATAACGAACATTTTAAATTAGCTAAACAGATTTTGCTATTTATCTAATTTTTTAATTTAACTTTTTAATCACGCGCATGTGTATAGTAAATCAGGTAAAACATACATGATACTTCTAACATAATTGCTTAATATTAGAATTATATTGCGGAGAAATCATACGAAAGTAAAACATGATAATAATAAAACGGTAAGATAACTACATGTCGTCGTTTAACGTACAAAACCGCGTATCGTCACTCTGCAAAACCGCGTAACTTACATTTGCTGCCAAAAATTGGATTTGACACACAAGCTCTTGGCTCAATCCTTATCCATTCGTTCTAAAATATACTAGCCAGAAATGAAATTGCTTTATAAAAAAGAGAACCGTTTTGAAATATGAGTGTTTTTACTCTCTAGAAAATAATTTATGCAACCTCACATACACGGTTTTGATACGCGGTTTTGTACTTTAAACGACGATATACATATTTTAAATATATACACCTACACGCACACATACGTATGAACTGGTATATGATTTCCTGGGTGTCAAGGATGCTTGCATGTTCAGGAATCCACGCAAGCGGGGAAATTGTGAAGGTGACGTAGCCCATCTGACAACTTTGTCACCCAGTAAAAGCTCTGGACTGACATGGTGTGAAATGTTTAAACCTAGGGGTCTTACATAAATGCTGACACTAATTTGCGCAATCTGAAAAGTATGTAACGGTCCCCCTTATGCTTCTATAAGAAATATTTGCTGTTGTTTTCTTTCCCACTAGAACTTGAAGGGAGATCTCACTATGTGAGGAATAAAAGAGTACTCCCCTTGACCTGATTTCTGAGCAATAAGAGAGATTTATCGGTTTTTTACTCCTTTATTACTCGTTTAGGAGTCAAATACGAGATATCCTAAGCGAGCAACTAAAGAATGCTCCCTGAGGTATGATTTGGGAGCAGTGTTGCCACTTCCTTAGCCTTTATAGTATCCATTAAAAGTCTAAAACTGTATCCAAATGTGTCCACCGAAACGAGCGGTAATTTTTTCACAGTACATCTATGGAAAGGAAACTTGGGCCTCTTAACAAAATTATTAACATATAGTCAGTATTTTCCCATACTTAGACACGGATTTGGGAAACAAAGGCCCGTAGTTATAGTCAAAATTAAGTCGACTCTAAAGTTAATTGCAGCTTTTTTATATAATTTTCAATGGGGTACCAGTAAAACTAGCTGCAACTAACTTTAGTGTTGACTTAATTTTGACTATAACTAGGGGCCTTTGTTTTCCAGATCGGTTTCTGAGAATGGAAAAATACTGACTAAAACTACGGGCCAAAGTTTCCGCATGTTCAATGTTTATTACTACGATTAGATTCCAACAAATAATACATGCAAAAAATGTATCCTAGTATATCAAAATAATGCTAATTTAAACTAATTTTTGATCAGCAAACGTCAAAGCTGTGAAGTTGTGTTTGTTTTTGCTCTCATTTAATAGTTGCGTTTCGCGTAGTTGTTAATTGTTCATGTTTAACCAAAACTTACAAGTTTTTGCGTTCGCGTACGTAGTAGGGGAAATTGCACAGTAGGGGAAATTGAGAGAGCAAAGTGCCATTTCATTTTGAGGGGAAGCTGCTGGTTTCTGCTGGAAAAATTTTTGCCAACAGCAATTTGCCAACAGGAAAACAGCTGGTTGCATTTACGCAAATCACAAAATTGAATTTGATGGTTTGGAAGTTAAAAATTACCAAATGCGACTAATTAGACTTGTAAGAAATAAGTAGTTATTTGTTTAATTATAATTATTATTATAAACTTATTATTATAATAAACTGTGCCAGTATAACACTTTGCGAAGACTTTTCGTACGTTTTAAATTTTACACTTTTGAATGTAAACAAAAATTATATCAGCTGTTCGTCTAACTTGCAAGTTTCTGCAAATTTTCTGTTCGCGTACTATTTGGAATATTTTTCTCTTGTGAGAGAACAGATGACATTTCGCCGAAATTTGGCAGTTGGTTGGTTTTTACTGAAGGTTTTAAATGAACGCACCTAATATCTTATTTTGCAAGGGTTTTAACATTGATTAAAGTAAAAAGTATCGAGAAACGTTTGGTGCACAATTTAAGTTTGAGCATAATATCAAAATTTCTAGTGAATTTGATCAATTTAATTTAACATTATTGATTGTGTGTGCCGAGTCTTTTCTTTCATATAATTATATTGTTGTTGTGAAGTGATTTTGTTTATCCACAATTACAATTGTGTTTGTTTGTGCACATTTATTTTGCTGTGTTTGTCATTTCTGCTATTTCATCCTTGTCACAGCTGTTTGCTTGTGTTTATTATGTAAGTGCCAAAATACAGTGTATTTAAAACTGTTCGCTACATGGTATTCATGCTAATATTTATCAACTGATTGTTTTCTTTTGCTAAATCGCTTTTAAAACTGTTTGCCTTTTTGCTTCTAATATTTTATAAAAACCTACAAACATATCCATAGCATTTCAAATATGTCGTGTATTTACGCCAATTGTCACGTTAGGAGCGACGCCTATGTGTCATGCTGGCTCTGCGAAATAAAATGTGCTGGTTTGAGCGGTGAGGGTGAGGTGAGGGTGTTAGACGCTATCAATGAGGGAAAGGGTCTTCGTTGGTCAAAAATGCCGATCAACCGAAGTCGATTTATTTAAATTCTTTAGACAGTCCAGAATAGTTTTTCTGAAATCGGGAAGGATCTCTTGGGAAGGATGCGCTTGTTGAAAAATTTAAGCATTATGAAAAAATGTTTAAGGGCCGTTTACTCAATATGTGGTTAACACTAATCTCCGTTTAAACATCATTATCGACGTGTTCGGCTCCATGCATATAACATGGAGTCGGTAACGTCGATAACGATGTTTTACCGGAGATTAGTGTTAACCAGACATTGAGTAACCGGCCCTAAGTCTTTCACATGCCTCGACAACCCTCCAAACTACGAGGAAAGTTGAGAAAATAAGCGTAGGCGTGTTATTAGTCCACCTAAAAAGATAGTCACTGAATCTACACAGAAAAATCCTCCATCTCAGCCCTTAGATCTAATCAATCTTTCTTATCCATGGCCTCAGGCATTGGAGCTTCCGTTATCTAAAGCCATGTCGATAAAACAGTGTTACCATCGGCATCTAAAGCTGCCGTATCTAACATAGATCCTTCGAATAACTCGGTATCCCGTATATCTGAAGTCACAAAAACTTGGTTGTAATTCCTCCGAGAGCATCAATCTTTGTCTCTAGATTTGCTAACGACACTTCTTCGGATGATATAAAGTCCTACATGTCGACTAAGATTAAAACTAAAGATGTATTTATTCGTAAATTTAATTTTAAATACGATCGCGATATTTCATCTTTTAAAATTGATGTAGCTGCCGAAGATTTTGATTCACTACTAAATAATTCATTTTGGTCGACCGGGGCGTTTGTTCGCAAACTTGAGTATAAACCTTATAAAAGTAAGAACAACGTAGCTAAAATTTCTAATCTTAATTCTGATTCAAAAACCTAGCTCGCAAGTCTAATTTAAGAATTTACTATTAAAACGTTAGAGGTTTCAATACCAAACTAACTGACTTATATTTAAAAGCTTTTGACTGCAATTATAATATTATTTCCTTGACCGAAAATGGCTCAAACCTCATATTTTTAATTCCAAAATTCTTCCAAATGAATATCAAGCATACAGGCAGTGTTACCAGGTTTTCGTCATGAGAAAACATTCCTCTTGGTGAGAAAACACGTCATTCTCTACCCAAAAACGTCTTTTCCATGTATGCACACAGAATTGTTCTTAGTACACTTTTTAATCGACTTAGGTTAGGAGGAGGTTATCAGTTCGTCGGAATATTTATTTTTTATGTATGTTACCGAATAACTTTAGACCACGTCGATAATTCTCTTGGCATCGGAAAGGTAGTGTCTTAAAGGTGGTCCCATACTAATCTGGTTAAGGATCAGTGGATCATGAGATATATATATATATATATTATATGAGAGTGAAGTAGGTTTTTTTGTTTTTTTTACTAAAAATTACTTGTATTGCATGCAAAGGTACATATGTACGTAAGGTATATTAAAATGCCATTTCGACAGAGCACATTCAAAATTCATTAGTGGTATTCACCGAAGTGAGCAAGTGGCCTGGAACTCTGGCAAAACAGCAGACGAGCTCAAGCAATGACTGTTGACAACAAGTTGGTGAATACCACTATTGTGAACTGGTTTCAGATCGTTAATATAAAAATCATTTTATACATACGCTTGCAATCAACTGTTTCTCTTTTGTTTATTTAATGTTTATTA